ATGCATCCTCTCAAACCACAGTGGAATAAAATTAGAAATCAACTCCAACAGAAAATCTCATCTCTACACAAAGTCATGGAAACTAAACAACCTTCGGCTGAATGACTTCATTAATAAGGAAATCAAGAGGGAAACTGAAACATTATTTGAACTAAATGACAAAGGAGACACAAGTTATCAAAATCTGTGGGACACAGCTAAAGCAGCCCTGAGAGGAAAATTTATTTCCATAAATGCCTACATCTAAAAGACAGAAAATCACAAATAAACAATCTAATGAATCATCTCAAAGAACTGGAAAAGGATGAGCAAACTGATCCCAAACCCAGCAGAAGAAATGAAATTACAAAGATCAGAGCAGAACTAAAGGAACCTGATAAAAAACAAACAAACAAAAAAAACCTATATGGAAGATTAAGAAAACAAAAGTTGGTTCTTTGCAAAAATAAACAAAATTGACATGCCTCTGACTAGATTAACCAGAAGCAGAAATTAAGAACTCTAATAAGCTCCATCAGGAATGAAAAAGGAGAAATTACAACTGATGTCAGGGAAATACAAAATATCATCTATGAATACTATAGAAACCTCTATGTACAAAAACTGGAAAATGTGGAGGAATGGACAAATTCTTAGAAATACACAGCCTCCCTAGGCTAAATCAGGAAGAAATAGAATTCCTGAACAAACCAATATCAAGTACCGAAAATGAAACAGCAATAAAAAACCTTCCTAAAAAGAAAAGTCCTGGACCAGATGGTTTCACACCCAAATTTTACCAGACCTACAAAGAAGAACTGGTGCCTATCCTGCAGAAATAATTCCACAAGATGGAGAAGGAAGGAATCCTCCCCAACACATTTTATGAAGCCAACATCACCCTGATACCAAAACCAAGAAAGGACACAACAAAAATAGAAAACTACAGACCAATATCCCTTATGAATATAGATGCAAAAATTCTCAACAAAATCATAGCAAACCTAATTCAGGTGCTTATCCAAAAAATAATCCATTACAACCAAGTGAGCAGCGATGGTTCAACATGTTCAAATCTATAAATGTAATTCACCACATAAATAGAAGCAGAAACAAAGACCATATGATCCTCTCAATGGATGCAGAAAAAACATTTAACAACATTTAGCACCCTTTTATGATACGAATGCTTAAAAAAACAGGCATAGATGGGACTTACCTAATATCAATACAAGCCATATATGACAAACCCACAGCCAACATCATACTGAATGGGGAAAAACTGAAAGCATTCCCACTTAGAACTGGAACCAGATAAGGTTCCTTCTATTACTGCTTCTATTTAACATAATGCGGGAAGTCCTACCCAGAGCAATACGACAAGAGAAGCAAATCAAGGACATCCAAATGGGGGCAAATGAGGTCAAACTATCTCTCTTTGATGACAATATGATTGTGTATCTAGAAAATCTGAAAGCTTCTGCCATGAGGCTACTGGAATTGATAAACAAATTCAGCAAAGTCTCAGGTTACAAAATTAATGTACAGAAATCGGTAGCATTTCCTATATGCCAATAACAGTCAAACTGAGAACCAAATCAAAGACTCAATACCCTTCACAATAGCACCAACAAAAATAAAGTACCTAGGAATATATTTAACTAAGGAGGTAAAAGACTTCCACAGGGAGTACTATGAAACACTGAGGAAGGAAATAGCAGAGGATGTACACATGTGGAAAACCATACCATGCTCATGGCTCAGCAGAATCAACATTGAAAAAATATCTATACTACCCTAACTGATCTACAGATTGAATGCAATCCCTATTAAAACACCAACATCAATTTTCACAGAGCTAGAAAAAATAGTTCTATACTTTGTATGAAAGTGTAGAAGACCCCATATAGCAAAAGCAATATTAAGCAAAATGAACAAATTGGGAGGCTTCAGTTTACCAGACTTCAAGCTATACTACAAGGCTAAAGCAACTAAAACAGCAGGTAACTGGCACAAAAACAGAGACATAGACAAAGGGAATAGAACTGAGAACCCAGATATAAAACCATCGTCATATGGCCATCTAATCTTTGACAAAGCAGACAAAAACATACACTGGGGAAAGAATCCTTGTTCAATAAATGGTCCTGGGAAAACTGGATAGCTGCATGTAGAAGACAAGATCCTCGCCTTTCACCTCTCATAAAAATCAACTCACTGTGGATAACAAACTGAAACCTAAGGTGTGAAACTATAAGAATTCTAGAATAAAATGTTGGAAAAACTCTTATATACACTGGCCTAGGCAAAGAATTTAGGAAGAATACCCCAAAGACAATAACAGCAACAACAAAAATAAATAAATGAGGCCTGATCAAATTAAAAAGTTCCTGCACAGCCAAGGAAACTATCACAAGAGCCAATAGACGACCTACAGAATGGGAGAAAATATTCACATGTTACAAATCTGATAAAGGGCTGATAACTAGAATCTATATAGAACTCAGGAAAATCAGCAAGAAAAAAATCAAACAACCCTATCAAAACGTGAGTATAGGACACGAACAGAAACTTTTCAAAGAAAATAGACTAATGGCTAACAAACATATGAAAAAATGCTCAACATCTCTAATCATCAGGGAAATGCAAATCAAAATCACAATGAGATATCACTCATCTTCAGTGAGAATGGACTTTATCAAAAAGTCCCCAAACAATAAATGTTGGCACACATGTGGAGAAATAGGAACACTCATACACTGCTGGTGGGACTGTAAACTAGTACAACCTCTGTGGAAAGCAATATGGAGATATCTCAAAAAGATACAAATAGAACTACCATTTTGAACCAGCAATCCCACTAGTGGGCATCTACCCAAAAGAACAAAAGACATTCTATCAAAAAGACATCTGCACTTGAATGTTTATAGCAGCACAATTCACAATTGCAAATTTGTGGAAACAACCCAAATGCCCATCAATACATGAGTAGATTAATAAAATGTGGTATATGTATACTATGGAGTTCTATTCAGCCACAAAAAACAATGGAGATATAGCACCTCTTGTATTATACTGGATAGAGCCGGAGCCCATTCTCCTAAGTGAACTATCCCAAGAATGGAAAAACAAGCACCACATGTACTCACTATCAAATTCGTTTTAACTGATCAACATTTAAGTGCATGTATAGTAATAACATTCATTGGGTGTCAGACAGATGGGAGTGAGGAGGAGGGAATGGGTATATACATAATGAGTGTGATGTGCACCATCTGGGGGATGGACACACTTGAAGCTCTGACTCAGGTATGTTGAAATAGAAAAAAAAAGAAGAGTATAAATGTCTCAATTTCTCATCTGTAATACAGGGATGATAATATAGCCTATGATTGGCAAGCTTTTTCTTCAAGAATCAGACAATAAATATTTTAGGATTTGCAGGCCAAGAGGTGAAATGCAGGATATTATTTAGGGATTTACATAACCACGTAAAATACCCAATTTCAACATCGTTATACTGAGTTTTTGGTAAATCCACCTTTCTTCTTCTCTCAGTAGCAATTAATTGTTCTCTTGGCTCCCTTTCTCTGAAAAAATAAATTAACCATCCTGATGTACATTATGTGTGTATTAGGTGAGTTCAAACCTATTCTTTATTTTAAAACATAGATATGGTTATCCAGAAGACCTTTACTAAACCTTAAAACACCCTTTCTCACACATCAATAGACTTCACTGATCTTTGCCAGTGTGAGTTAGTCATAACCAGAGAAACGACTGGTTGACTGATTAGGGAGACCTCACATAAATAGAATAGCTATATTCATGAAATAACATGGGGACATGGTCCCTTTATTTATCTAATTTACTCGCATAATCTTAAATACCTAGTTTCCATGATCCTTTATGACAACAATTAATGTTAAAATGGCAGTAGCCACTCTCATGTTTTTCTTACAAAAGTGTCTTAGCCAGCTATTTCTAGGTGGAAAAAAAATCTCCTCACATTATAAAACTGACCAATGAGTCACTGTCAGGGGCTATTTCAAGTTACACATATTGACATCCCCCAAATGCGTTACCAGGAACAGGAATCCATTTGCTTCTTTTTTTGTCAGAACACCACCCTCTCAGTCCGCATTGCTGGCTGCGAGAACGCCAGGTGGAGCTCTGCATTTCTGTGGCTTCTACAGGTCTGGTCTCAGGTCTGGTTTCCCAAAGCATCAACTTGGGGACTGACTTCAAGCAGAGATGTAATTTTATAGATGGGAAGATCAAGGCTCAATATATCAAGTGACATAACTAAAGATGCTGTGCAGTGACTGAGGTGATATTTAACTCAGTTCTGTTTGGCTATAAAACCCAAATCCTGAGCTTTCTTCACGACATCATCCAGCCTTCCTCTAAAACACTCATTGGGGCTAAGTACTAAGCTAGTCTTTTCCATCCTTAGGGGTTGAGCTGAATGATGATCCAGCCAGCTTAGTTAAGCAAATCTGAGGATGAATAGGCAATAACTGAAATTAGCCAAAGTTGTGAATACTGTGAAAATATGGGCTCACTCATAGATGATCAAAGATCTGACTGGATGAGGTGAGGCTTCTGGATTTATTGTGAGACAGACATTAATATAAATTTCAACTCAGTCACTTCAAAGCTTCATTAGCTAAGTTATTTCATATCTCTGAGCCTCTATTTCCTTATCTATAAAATGATAATAACAATATGTGTCTCAGGATTTTATCATATAATTAGCAATAATGTATAAAAATCACCTTACACAATTCCTGGCACCCAATACGTGTCTAATAAATGGTGATTACTATTGTTATCCCAACAATCACCAAAGTTCCATTGATATTCTCATTATTGATTCTGTAGCCTCTGACTTGGATGAGAAAATGGATCTTTGAGCTTTGAGGTGAATTTTCTTGAATAGATTCATGCTCTGGATCACCACTCTCTGGGCAGAAATACTGAAAAGCCAGATTTCAGCAAGGCGTTCTTTATCCTCACAGATAAAAGAATCAGCTTGATAGGAAATGTTCCTGAAAACAGTCAGTTGAGAGTAAAAGGAAACTGTCACCCTAACACTACGACAAGTTCTTAGGTAAGTCTCCATTTTGAATCTTTTTAAAGAGACAGGTGCCTAATAGCCTCCTATCAGGTATTCAGATGTAATGTAATTACAATGAATTATTTTTACCTATTTTTGTTCTCATTTTTAACATTGCTATCTTGTTTCTGAATCACCTTTAAAATTCTCTATATTTTTAAAGAAGCTTTGTGTTTATCTTTCTTTAATTTTAGTTTTATTTTTAAGACTGCCTGAAGAGAGAATCTTATTTGTTCCTTGACCTTGTATTTGCACTCACAGTAGTTATAATCAGGGACAGACAGGCATATTCATTTAACATTTATTGAACATATATTAATATATAATGCCAGAGCAGGGGAACAGATGAATGACAAAGACCCTGCCCTCTGAGAGCTTTCAGTCTGGTAGAGCCTGTTTGTTAGTATATAAATCCAGCTTATATTAACCTTTCTAAACAGCTAATAGAGAGATGTAGGAGTATCTCATATTTCCATTCAAAATTATTTTTTCTGTATTAAAAATTATGATAGATTAAGTTACAATAAAATTAAAATTTATTCATTTTTTGAGTGCTTAACTATGCATAAAGCACTTGGGTAGCACAACAATTATAAAATGTAGACCTTAACTATAACTATAATTCACATTCTAATTGGAAAAACAAATATAAACAATATCACATTAAAATAATAATTTAAACAATGCTAAGAAAAACTGTCATGGAGGTTGGACATCTTTGGAGGCTCATTACCTAGAGACTTCCTATGAATTCATAGAGTGAATAAGGAGCAAACAAGGTGATTGTTTCTGCTGCTTTTTCCTTCTGCTGTAAGAGCAGGAAAAAAAATCTCAGGAGATAAAGCCATCCCTTCTCTTTTGTAAAAAACCTGCGATGACCTCTCTTCCAATCAGGAAAGGGTTTCCCTTGGCAACCATCTCACATATCCTCCTTCCCATCACGGCTCTGTAAATAAAAGTTATTTTGATGACACCAACTCAAGATTACTTTAGCAAATTATCTGCTTTGTATCACTCCAAATTAGATGTTGACATGAGCTGTTATTTTAAAAAAATGTATTTCTTATCCATTATAAACATTCTGAGAAATAATTTGAATAATTTCAAGACACATTTACATAAGAATTACTGATGCCCTTTAATATGGTACCTTGAAGCCCTCAAAGACATCTGCCTTTTGATTTTAATCCTTCAGGTTAGATTCATCAAATATAACCTCATTCTTACTTTAGATGTGATTGAGGACAAATGATAAAATCAAGTAAAACAGCATGGCCTCTTAAGTAATAGTTAAGTACATATAATTAAAATGTACCTAAATAGTATATAAAACATTTCTAAAAGAGAAAAATAAAATAAAATATTCCCTCCAAATCCACATAACCCTTTTATGCAGAAACATGGTTAGACTGAAATTGTCATAGGGATAGTCTTGAGTCTGGTCTAATTTATATTTTTAAAAAATCAGGTGCAACATGTAGAGTGTTTTAATGATTTTTAGGAAAACAGTGTTTTACTTTTAGCATCATATGCTGCTTATTGCACACCAATAGGCTGCAGAATTATATTTAATAATCATTGCCTTGGGTTGTTTTGTAGAACTTACCTATGGGAAAAATACCGTACCTGCTAGCTTTTTTTTTTCCTCCTCTGGAGAAATCTTGCTGGATGAGGTGGCTCTGTGGCTACCTGAAATGCTGCTGGGTTTGCCTTCATTTCCCAGCGCATAGAAGAAGTGGTCCTAGCAAATACTTTAAAAATGCATGAACAATTCCTTTCATTTCTCTGGTTCCTTTACTATCCACCCACTCAGAGCTGCACCATGACAAATATGCCCCTTGCTTCTTGAAAACCTGAATATATAATAGTTATTATATGGAATGAAAATATGAAAAGTTGCATTGAGAAAATATTTCTGCTCAACACTGAAGTGTTTGAGAAATTACAAAATGAGTGGAATTTTTATGCTTGCATAAAATGACTGTTTGCAATTAAAAAACAGCTGAGATATCTTATCTCCCTGTGGCCAGGACTTCCTTCCTTTTCAGAGTGGGACAGACAAGGCTTCAGTTTCTCCAAGTGACTGTATTTCCTTGTTAATCTATGCCAAGTCATTAACCAACTCACAACCCCAGTCCCTTAGAAAGAATTTCTTTTTTTTTTTTTTGTGCAGAGTACAAGTTTTCAGGTGACATATATTGCGCATGCTTCTCTTTATTTCTTTTTTTTTTTTTTTTTTTTTTTTTTTGTGCAGAGCTACAATATCATTATTCAATTTACACCTTTCTCTCAACTGATTACAATGTCAGATTGCTTTTACCATCTTGTCACCTGACAAAAAGAAGGTAGTACTGGAAACAGATTATTTAGGCAAATTAGCAATGGTCTTCACTTTTAGATGCTATAGCAGAGACTTGTGTGGAACTTTAGGAGCAGATCAAGGAATTGAGTCCCATTGCATCTTTGCTTGTGACAGTTGGGATAAGTCTGGAAGGCAGAGAGCTGCAGGCCTCTTGCCAACATTTTACAATTCCTAAGAGAATTACTTTGGACCTTTCTGAAAATCTATTTCACCATATAGCAATAGGTGCCAGCTGTGTTACACACTTTCAGCATTTCTCCCATCGGTTCCATCTTCTGTGTTCTCATGAGAGTTTTTCATTTATTCATTCAGTCAGCAAACATTATTCAGCTCCTGCTATGTGTCAGATACAGTGCAAAGAGCTGAGGATATCATGGTAATCAAAGTAGACATATCTGATCCACACAAAGCTTAGATTTAATGAAAGTAAAAGACAGATATCCCATTGTATGTAAAATTATAACTGTGCACCATGCTTATAAAAGCTTAAAATGGTGCTTTAAAAGTGTTTTTGTTAATAGACAAATAGATCAATGGACTAGAATAGAGAGCACAGAAATAGACTCATATAAATATAGTCAACTGCTCTTTGACACAGGATGCAAAGGCAATTCAATGGAGAAAAAATAATCTTTTCAACAAATGGTGCTGGAACAACTGGACATCCATACTCAAAAAAAATTAATAATAAACTAGACATAGACTGTAAACTTTTCACAAAAACTAACTCTATTATAGTTTTATCTGTCAACTTTAGCAGGCTAAGGGATGCCCAGATACATGGTAAAACATTATTTCTGGATGTGTCTGTGATGGTGTTTTAGAAGAGATTAGTATTTGAATTCACAGACTGAGTAAAGATAACCCACAGCAATGTGGACAGTCATCATACAACCCTTTAAGAGCCTAAACAGAACAAACAAACAAACAAGCAACAATAAAAACAAAAAAACAGAGCAAGATTGAATTTGCTGTCTTTGAGCTGGGACGTCCACCTTCTCCCACCCTCAGACACTGGCACTCCTGGTTCCCAGGCCTCAGATTTGTACAAGGAGTTACATTATCACCATCTTCCCTCCCATTCTCAGGCCTTGAGACTCTGACTGAATTATTCCACTGGCTTTCCTTGTTCTCCAGCTTGCAGACAGCAGATTGTGGAAGTTCTCAGCCTCCATAATCATGAAAACCAATTCCTATAATAAAGCTCCTCATGTGTCTTTATCATCTGTATCTATAATATCCTATCAGTTGTGTCTCTGCAGAAACCTGACTAATACAAACTCAAAGTGCATCACATATCTAAATGTAAGATGAAAAACTATAAAACCCCTAAAATATAACATTGGAGAAAATCCAGGTGACTTTGGGTATGGCAATAATTTTTTAGATATAACACCAAAGGCATGATCCATAAAAGAAATAATTAATAAGCTGGACTTTATTAAAACTAAAAACATACGCTCTTTCAAGACAGCCAGAGGAATAAGAAGGCAAGCCACAGACTGGGAGAAAATATTTGCAAAAGACATATATCAAAAAGGACTTTTATCCAAAATGTACGGAGAACACTTAAAATCCAACAAAAAGAAAATTAACAACCCAATTTAAAAAATGGACAAAAGACCTGAGCAGATACTTCAAAGAAGATAAGCATATGGCAAATAAGCATATAAAAAGATGCTTAGCATAATATGTCATTAGGAAATTAAAAATTAAAACACTGATTAGGTGTCTACACACCTATCAGGATGGCCCAAATCTGAAACACTGACACCACCGAGTGCTGGTAAGAATGTCAACCAACGGGAATTCTAGCTCATTGCTGCTGGGAATGCAAGATAGTACAGCCACCTTGGAGCACAGTTTGGCAGTTTCTTTACAAAATTTAACACACTCTTACAATATGACCCAGCAACTGCAGTGCCTGGTATCTACCCAAATGAATTGAAAATTTATGTCCACACGAAGCCTTGCACTTGGATGTTTATATTAACAGCAGCATTATTCATAATTGCCAAAACTTGGAAGCAACCAAGATGCCCTTCAGTAGGTGAGTCCATAAACTGTGGTATTAATACATCCAAATTGTGGAGTATTATCCAGTGCTCAAAATAAATGAGCTGTTAGGCCATGAAAAGACATGGGGAAAGCTTGACTGCAAATTACTAAATCAATGAAGCCAATATGAAAAAACTACACACTGTATGTGTCTGACTATATGACATTCTAGAAAAGGCAAGACCATGGAGAAAGTAGAAAGATCAGTTGTTGCCAGGGTTGGGGGAGGGAAATATGAATGGGCTGAACACAGAGGATTTTTTAGGGCAGTGAAACTGTTCTGTATGATACTATAATAGTAGATACATGTCATTATTCATTGTCAAAACCCACAAAGTGTACAAAACCAAGAGTAAACCTTAATATAAATTATGAACTTTGATGATAGTGGTATGTCACTGTAGGTTTATGGATTATAACAAATGCACCACTTGGGTTCAGGACAGTAAAAATAGGTGAAGCTGGGGGAAAGACAGGGTGTACATGAGAACTTTGTACTTTCTGCTTAATTTTTTTGTGAATCTAAAAGTGCTCTAAAAATAAATTCTATTAAAAAAGTATGTTTGTTATAAAC